CACAAATGCCCTGTTTTTCCAGATACAGGACTTAAGTTCGGATGACGTCCGCACTTCTATCGAAGCTTCGCATGTGCCCACAGTCTACGCAAAGTCTTCTCAGGCCAACCTGCACAATACCAACACCCCAGTCACTGGTGTCAAAGCCGGCGTTGGTACAAAAGTGCCGTTAGATTCAGCGTACGATCAGGCCACAAGCCGCTGCAGCTTCTTGTAGAAGGGAGTCAAAAGCACATATATGCACAAGTACGCGTATGCATATAGACACACACACACATGCATACATAGACTAGCGATAACAGGAAAACAACGATGATGAGAATGTTAACAAAGTGAAGTAGTGTTAGGAAACCTATCTTATAACCGTAAAATGTGCAGCATAATACGACATGATATAACGCGAGACAATACAAATATAAACTGCTATTATGTACAAGATAAAAAACATAGTGTACCATAGCATGGTGTTGAGATAATGTCACACAAACATCATCACAAAATACAATATGATACAGCGGATCAGAATATGATGTAAATATATATCAACACAATGCAAGATCATTTAGAATAGGATGATCAAAAGACTGAAATACCATAGTAAATTACAACATAATAAACTCAGTATTATACAGTAAAACCTGATAAGAGACAGTATGACCCTAGAACCTGATAGGATACCGTACAACCTAAGAAAACAAACATATTACAACACATATACTACTAGCGGATATGACAAAACACAACCCTGTTTAGTTTAATACAACATGATAAACTATATGCAATATCATGGAGAAACGCGTATATATAGGTGTGTGTATATACAGATAGCGAGAGAGGGATAGAGATTTCCAGGGCAAGCATAGAGATTTTCAGGGTAAGCAAGCATGTGCATGAAGATGCATACACGCGTGCCATGGACACATGCACACATGCGCACACACAGACACACATGCACACATGAATGCATCCCCGCAGAAACGCAGGCAGACCAGAAATGAATACGCACATACATACACATACGTACATACTTACATACTTACACAAGCACACCTGTAAGTGTTTGTATGTATGCATATATATACACACACATCATGTCCATTGTGTCGACGTTCGGCCTTTGCCCCCTCATCGCGCAAAGCGTCGAGTCGAGTAGGAGAAGGGCCGTCCTCCTTGCGGCCGGTGGATGGAAAATGGCATGGGGCCTAGATATTTAGTTGGATGGCAGCCTGGTCTCCACTGAAGTCTGGGAACGTGACTCCACGTGTGCCAAGTTATAATTCTAGGTTGACAAGATGGCCGCAGGTGGTCACGACAAGCATACAGCATGCGAACATCACGTAAAGCAGCAAACGTTAGCTGGCAAGATCCTTCCCGCCCATGGCTAAAGGCCACTGAGCATGTCAAGTGCAGTTTCAGTGATGAGGTGCTCCGCCTCCACCTACTGCTGAGTCAGAGGACCTACTACCACGACCGCCATCACCACCACCACGACGACTACTGCTACTTTAATAGTAACAATAACAAGAATTACGCTAACGACGACTGCTATTACCATCTGCTACCACTAGCAGCTCACTAGCACTACCGACTGCCAATGCCTTCGCTTCTGCCTCTGCCTGTGCCACTCCCACTACGACCACGACTACGGCGACGGCAACGACCACCACGACGACTACTTGCTGCTGCTAGAACAAGAAGGAGGAGTAGCAGTGGTAGCAGTAGTAGTAGTAGTAGTAGTAGTAGTAGTAGTAGTAGTAGCAGGCTTTGTCTTGTTCCTCCTGTGCCCTGGTAATTTAGCATCAAGCTGCGCCGCAACGTACATGCACGTACCCGTCGCACATAGATTTCCACGCAACCCATATCTCAGCACTTGCTTCTTGAGTTCACCTTGCAAGTCAAAACGACGGCCTTGGCCTTTGCTGCGACGTTGAGATCGGATCGTTCAGACTTCACGGCCTTGCCAGAATCCGTAGGCCAAGACTCAAAATATCTGCGCGAGCGTAAGCGTTTGATCTACATGATTACATATTGTCCTGGTCAGAAATAGGGTCACCGCTGGCGTTCTTGTTCTTTGCTGCAATCGGGGAGCTGCCCTGCGCGGCTCCAGATTAGAAGATGGAAGATTTTGATGCCACACATGTTCTGCGCAATGCGGGATGGACACACCTAAGCCGATCCGAAAAGCAACGCATCCACGGCTGCTTGCTTCGGGACGTGGGTCTTGGGCCTTCCATTAACATGAACTCTTTCCTCTTCCGGGAAACAAACCATTAACCATTCTTCTGCGCTCTCTGGAAAACAGCACTCGAGAATGCTAATTTGTAACAGTTACTAACAAGACTCATATGAATAGAAAGGAGAGCAAACCCTGATGGCGGAACAGAGCTACCCGAAATTGTCAGAAAGAAAACATCTCAGCCCCCAAATTCCTAAACCTTGAGCCTTTGTCGAAGAGGCAACGAAAGTCTGTACATAAATAACTAGAGCCTTACCAGTTGTTGAGATTGTGAGACTAATTTTGGTGTGGGCATTTCTTGCCCGGCGCCTTCAGCTGTGACTTGGCGGAGGTCGAAGGTGCCTCTCACAGTCAAGTAGAATAAGGTTCTGGAGCCCACTATACTAAAATGATAATAAGGAACCCCCAAAATAGTATTGGCACTCATTTAGAATGGACCCGGACGTGTTCATGTCGGATGATATCACCAGCTTGAGGTTCTGAAACATGTGCCTAAGCTGAACGCAAGCCACTGACCTAGCTATCAGATGAAACAGACGAAGACCCGAGGCCTCTGTTGCGACGAGCTTTAGAGATGTGGGAGTTTCCGAGAATAGGGGACCCTAATATAGTACCCTAAATAGTAGGATCCTTATTATAAGGACCCCAAAATTGGGTACCCCATTTTTCGGAAACTCCCATGTATGACTCGCAAGCATTTTTCTCAAGATACCGATCGCAGAGCGACATCGGAGCCCGAGGAACCACGCACATGCTGCGACAGATGCAACGTCATCCCTGGTATTTGGGAAGGAAGCTCGATGATAGGTATGCATCAGTTCCGTGTTATGGATTTCTGCTAGCAGTGACTATACCTCTCCATCTGAGTTCCCCGGATACAGATCACCAGCATCGCTCTTGTTTTCGCGAGTGCTGCTAGCTCTTGTCAAAGCCTTGTACATAATATTGTAGGAAAGTTATGAAGACGCTCCTGATCTTAGCAGATCGAAGCTTGCCCGAATGGACACCCGAAGCTGTGAGATCCCGTCCCCAAAGGAACCTCGAAGTCAGGAGAGTTTGGTCTTGCATCTAACTAGACTTTACCACCAGTGCTCTTAGTCTTAGTATCTTTGTGAGTTTCCGAAAATAGGGGATCCAAATATAGCACCCCAAGTAGTAGGAGCCTTATTATCAGGACACCCAAATAAGGTACCCCTAATTTCGGAAACTCTCAAAGGAGCATATACAGAGTATATTAACATAAGTACGTGCATGTGGCACGTTGCTATTACAGCTATGACGGTCGTGAAAGACCAACACAGCCCCGTGAGATGCCTCTGCTGCCGGCGCGGGCTCGGCAGGTGCGGCCGGGGCCGGAGCAGCAGGGGCCGGAGCCGGGGCAGAAGGCTTCTCGGGAGTCTGGGCGGCCATGTCCTGGATAAAGGCTCAGGAAGTTTGGGGTTTTGGGGTTTCGGGATTTCGTAAATTTACCAGGGGAACTTCGCTGGCGAAAACTGCAAGCAGCATGTCTGATGCCTGGACTGTTGCGTAAGATGTTGTCGGATCTTGGGCAATGAAAAACCGCTCGGAGGCCCTGGGCCAAGCATACTTATATGATGGAGTTGGGGCAAATCTTCAAAAAGGGCATATCTTCAACAAGCTCGCTAAAGCACCACGGCTGTGAACGGTCTTCGAGTCCGCTTGCAAGCTCGCATGCCACACGCCGTTTCCTGCCAGGTCCTCTCCAAGGAAACCACAAAAAGCCCGGACCAAGCTCCGGGCGCGTCGAGCTGCAGACAAGCAAAGAGCTTCAAGGGTGGCAATAGCTTGGGCCAAGCGAGCTTCTAAGCTGGGAGTTCCCCTAGCCATTTTACAACAAGCACTCACGTGCCACCAACTGCGCTCAGACACACAGGCCCGCAGCTACCGACAGACACAAGTGTGAAGGGCAACTTACCGCTTCGCCCAGAGACGGGGGAGAGAGAGAGAGAGAGCGAGGGAGAGAGGGCGAGAGAGAGAGAGAGACCGAGCGAGAGCGAAAAAGGCAGAAAGAGAAAGAGTGACATTGATATATGAAAACGAAACATACATAAACAAAGAAAACATTATATATATATATATATACCTACCTACCTACCCACATACCTACATACATACATACATACATACATACATACACCCACACACACATATTCATATATGTATATGTACACATGTACATATATATATATATATATACACGTACAAACATAGGTACAGCTTTGCAAATGCGCATGAACCATACATCGTTCCATGAATATACAAACATACATGCATGTGTGTGTGTACATATATATATATACACATGCGCGTATATATATTTATACACACATACATACATGTGTATGTATGTATATACACATGCATACACATGATATGATATCACGCATAATATAATATGGTGTAAAAACTGATAAAATATGGTATGAAAGAGTGTAATGTATCTGTGTATATGTCAATGCAAACATTTCTATGTATACACATGGCTGAAGAATTAAAGTAGCTAAACGGGACACCAACGGTGATCTGCAGGAAGTGATATGAACACGCAATGGAGATACACTATGCACCGACACACGGCAAAAGCACGCCAACTGCGATATGTCGATAACCCATGCGCATACAGCAGCTGCGACGATGATTCACATGAGATACATGAACGCCCTAAACCTCTGAATCCTCCCCAAGCCCTGAGACCCTCAACTTCCTCAAAGCTCTTGTATGAACAATGCTCTTTGGCCCACGCCCAGCGCGTGGTGACCATGGAAGGCAGGGCCGGGGGAAGCGCTGCGAATCCCACCAACGCGTACTCGGCCCAGGAGGGGTTTTTGTCGCGTCAAGCAGGGAGCTACCAGCGTTGATGGGTGGGGTATCTGGGGTGTTGGCTTTATGACTCTAGAGTCTTTTCTGGGTTTGGTGTAGGAGCATTCGGAAGTAGGTTGCTTGTGTGTTGAGTTAGGAATAGGCAAACAAATATCGGAAGCTCGTCTGTTGAGCGTTCTACTTCCAAGATGGGCACTTGGGCTGAATGCGGAGGCGCTGGTGTGGAACTGGATCAAGATTGTCCGCTAAAGTACGTTTGGGGTTGGGTGCCGCAACTACAAAGTTGCAGCTTTCAAATCACACGCGATGCATCTATCTGACAAAGATCCGAATAATCAGCCGCAGGTCGCAGGAAGCTTTACAGTCGACAGATCCCTGCGTCAGTGGTGCATACCGCTGCATACCCGTACGATGATCTTGAAGCTATGCTATGTTGCACAACACAAGGCTGGTGTGGACAACTGGGGCCGCTGCTGTCAAAGAGGTTTTGCCTGCCTTTGGAGCTCAGATAGCTTGATTGGCTGAAGCTGGCATGGCATGCTGGAACTTCCGGCGAGAGGTGTCACTATAGAATATCTCTGCATGGCGGAAGCTGCGTGTGCCAACAAGCCGTTCTGATCTGGTCCTGACTCACTCCGTCATGCGAGGCAAAACTGTTTCTCTGCAAAGGTACCGGTGTGCCGGCTCTACCCCAGCTCCTTTGATTATCAAATCCATCTGCTACGTGTCTGTAGCCTCTCGAAAGGCCGTCTAGGTCCCCAAGTTCCAGACACTCTTGAAACTTCTCAAGCCTCAATTCTACGGAACCCGACAAAGCCCTGTAAAGCTCTGAACCTCCCTCCCTTCTTGAAGCCCTGCCGGCCTGGCAAGGCCCCATGATGACCAACTGGGCCTCTCCACGTTGCATGCACTTTCTGGCAGGACAGTGGCAAGTGCACCACAATCCAGTGCACCTGCTACTGCGATTAAAATGGCGCCTTGTCACTGTTAGAACTGTGAGGAGATGCCGTGATGTGTTTCTTGATTTCTCTTTCCGCAACAGCCTGCCGCCCTACAAGATCCCGCTGACCACCAACTAATGCCTACCTGTCGCCCGTCCCACAACCGCCTGCAGATCAGCCTGCCGCCGTTGGAGATCCACGATGCGCTCTTTGGCCTCGCCGGGGACATCTGCAACAGGAGCCGTGTAATCACTGTCGCGGTGATCGTGCCCTGCAGAAGATAGCAACGCAGGGGCGGTAGTGATTCGAACAGTGTTGGGGGGGGGGGGCAGATTATAATTGGAAGCATATGTGGGATAGAAGGGGACACCACTACTAAGTATCCCGATTTTATCTACTTATTTTCCTCATTCTGCCCTCAATCGCATCCTCCGAACCCTCGGCATCAATATCGAAAGAGACCAGAACGGGAGATTCAGGTAGCTAGGGACTCCTGATTTTCGGGGTCAGTGCAGTCACGAAGCTAAATTAGGCTGCTGTGTTTGGCTTCGAAACTCACGCACCATCAAAGAGATCGCCACAGAAGCCGCAGAACCCCCTCTGCATATTCTCGGAAATAGTGCACCAGCATCTCTCTCCTGGGATTCTTGAGGGCCGTGCGCTGGTGGCGACATTTGCTTCACCGTCGTAGCCTGAGCAGCCAGCAAACGGTTCGAACTTCGGCCCACGACACTCCCCCGGCTAAGTCCGGAACCACTCATCATCGGCTTTAAATACCTGCCATGAGACCATGGACCATGGGAGCCATGTCCAAGGATACATCCGCATCAGGTTGACAAGTCTGAGCTCGCTCGCAAGCATCATGCCAGTTGTGCTGATTGTAGAACAGTCTGGACCAATTAGCTCACCCAGTTGGCGGTTTTACGGTCATGGCACAGCGGCAAGTTCGATGATGCCAGCGAGACAATAGCCCCATGCTGAGATCACGTATAAACTGGACGGGGGGACATCTCGGTCAAGTCTACTGCACTTTCGAAGGCATCCAGGAGACTGTCGACGATGTCCTGCCACAACGAAACACTGAGCTAGTATCTGCTTCCATGACGGTATCTGAGACCTACAGCAGTGCGAACGTAGAAGTGCGATGTGCGGTTGCTTGCCGCACCCTCATACCCCTCACAACGGCAAAGCCTACGAAGCCCCGCTGCTAGTACTTCTCCAGATACTCGGCAGGTTGTTCGATGGCCCTGTCCGCAAGGCCTTCTTGGCTGCTGTGAGTCTGAGCCAGCTGTACACTGTACAAGTTGTGTGACTACCACACATGCCCAGATGCCACTAAGTAGAAACTTGAGCGCAGATTGCAAATCAGCTCTAGAAGCCCGAATGGCTGCATAAATTTAATATAAAGCCTTGAACAAACTCTTTTACTCTGATTTTTTTTCTCAATGCTGACCTTTGCTGCTAGTGTTGATGCTGGACATGAATCTTCATCCTGTAAACAACACTGGAACTCTACAACCAACGTTCGCCATGTCGCTGATAATCGTCGTCTTAGCGGAGGAGGAGCGCATTACACAAAGGTGCCAGTACTGCTTCCTATGACCATACCTAAATGTTGCAAGCCGAACCAGGGCAGGTACTCCTCACTCTCCTAGGGCCGATGGAAAGGATAATTGCCGAGCCATTGTTGTCAACAGCCTGAGGACCTGATAAGACGCTATCTATGGAGTCACAAGTGTTGGAAGATGGCAAACAACAAGTAGGTCAGCTCTCGTGGGCAGAGTTGCAAGCCGCGCCGGCAAAATGAATCTGCACGCCGTGTTCAGAGTTGTCTGGGCTGGTGCACCTCGACCTGACCAGTGCTCAGAGCGAAATCCATCAACAAGAATATCCATGTCCAGAGCTCGCTTTTCTCGGCACGGAGTCTGGCAAATCTGAGTGTCTGACAGCTGCTGTTTGCATGCAGAGATGGGCAGATGAACATGTTGCACACTGCTTTCAGGCAGGCCTTAGCACTGCTCGCCTGGGGCTTCTGCATCATGAAGCGAAAGGATGCGATCCTCGCGTCGCATTCACTGTATTCATACGCTCACATGCTCGTCCGTACCATCCGACGTCATTCCACGCCATCCAACGCTCTGCCATACCGTGCACGTATGTAAATAGTGCGCGCGCGTGTGTGTGTGTGTGTGTGCGCCAATGTACATGTCTGCTATATCTATCTATCTACCTGTCTATCTATATGTGTATATATATAAAGAAACATATACAAATCATACATTTTAATATACCATAATATAACAACATCTACATGACATCAATAATATATATATATATATATGTATGTATTCATCTGTGACTGTGAGTGCCTGTGTGTGTGTGTGTTTGCTTGCGTGCGTGTGGGTGCATATGCTCGGGCATGGCTGTGTGGATGCGTACCTCCATAAATGCACGCATACGGTAAATCTGGTATAAATCACATCCCAGACGCATCAACTATGTTCGTTGAAAGCTGCAGTGAGGCTGTGCTTTTCTGTTGCGACATGTTATCATACAAAGTCTGTCCTACATGTGGTCGTCTATAAGTTGCTGTTCTGTACGTACTAGTACTGCAGGCTGCATGGCTTGTGATACGGAGGGCTGGGCTGCCTCGCGGTCCGGCAAGAAAGTGTAAGGAGCGAGTCAACAGCCACATCCAGAGCTCCGGAGCAAATTCTGTAGGATTCTAGACATATATATTCGGGAGTTTCCGAAAATAGGGGGTAGTACCCTAATTAATAGGATCCTTAATATAAGGACCCCAATGGTACCCCTAATTTTCGGAATCTCGAATACTTACTTCTCTATCTACCTGTCGATCACACTACTCATCGTAGGCTGCAAAGATCCCGAAGCCCGTGCTGCATTTGGGTGGAGCCCGACCAAAAGTTCGATTGTGGCAGGAAGCCTGCGAAAAAAACACCCCCGATCACCCCGCTCCAGGAGTACATTTGGGAGCTGCGGAATGTCGCAGCCGAAACGGTCCTTGGCAGTTCAGGTCAGATTCTAAACTCCTCTAGCTTGGACTTGTAGGAATGACGATGTGGAGTGACTGGATGTGCCATATGCCCTGAGTTTCGTTTTCATTATAGAACGGTCTCTACCCTAAGCTCATGCGATCCTCCATCACCAATCCTTCAATCTATAAACCAGCTGCGGCATCTCTATCGGTTGGAACATGCTGATCACTACCTTGTACCGCAAGCGTCATCGCAATCTTTGAACGCCTTGTGCAAATGCCACGTCCTACCAGCAAAAATATTATTACCCAGGCAAGAACATGCTCGTCATTGAACTCGACACCAGCTGATGGAAGCATAACAACTCTTACGAGAAACCAGCCAGGGTGCCCTCATGCGCACCACGAAGCCAAGGGAGGGCAACTGGAGTTTGTGCCTGCCGTTGCCCCGATTGTCTGAACCAAGGCATCGTTACGCTCGTAGATTGAGTCGCCAATCGCAAAACAAACAACACCGATGTCCCCAACTCCGTGCAGTTTATGCTGCAGACGGTTGAAGCTGCACTGCCACGACTACCCTTTGCCATCGTCTTCTATTGCATCTGCGTGGATCCCGCCCTGTCTTGAGCGCACATCAGCCACGAAAACTGCAAAGCACGAGACTTCGGAACCTTCAGACACCTCTCCGTTGTCTGGACCCGCTCAAGATCCAGGATTGGGGCTGAAGGAAAAGCTTTGTGGGGTTTCTGCCCATCCTGTGGGATGTGATCAGGTGGAACACTGTCAGGGGCTCGCCGGAAGGACGATGCAGGCTCCGAATCACCTGTGGCAGCTTCAGGCTTTGGATCGCTGGGGTACAGAGCTTTCGAGTAAAATGGGTGGTCCCGGAGCTTACATGGATTGGGACGTTTCATGCCCGAAGAGAGGCCGAAATACTGCCGGGAAGGAGCACGAGAGTCACATGCAGGGTCCGCACGATGACAGGTCTCACTGCACGAGCCCGAGCCTCGACCTAGCTTCTGCCTAATGTACGTTTCAGAGAGGAAACAACCAAAGCGCCAAGCGAGGAGAACAACATTCTGCGGTTGGGCACACCGTCTAAAACTGTACACTGAAGATGACGAAGCTTGACTTCAACGTGGCGGCTGGAAAGCGAGACAGAACACAAGTCAAAGAGCGTTTGCTGTCTGCGCAACTCTGCCGAGACTGCGGCACGGAGCCCTGACATTTTGCAAATTTGCAAGTCTACCTCGGCATATCCACCTGTAGAACCCTTTATCAGCACTGCTTTTTTGTGCGCGGAGTTTCTTGAGCTTTCAGATTCGGATTCGTCTTCGCCGTTCTCGCCAGTCGCCGCTCTCCTCGGGCAGAATATGATGACGAAATGCCTCCATGAGACCTTTCAGGCCGCGTTGCACCGGCCAATGTCTGCAGGCGTAGTCCACATATGTCCACATACTCGAATAGCACCATGAGAGCCACGCAGGCCTGCCACCGGACACAGTCGATACTCCAAATCCTTAATTCACTCTTATCTTATTCTGAACTACCATAGACCATGCGGTTGATGATATAAATCCTGCATTACCTTAAGGACCCTAAACTATGGGAATTATGGTATATTCCTTATTATGGGTAATGCAGGATTTGTATCATCAACCGTAGCTCCCAGGATGGGGGCATTCAGGGTCATAAAGGATGTGGGGTGCCATGTCCACGCTCGGAATCAAAGATCGGCACTGCCTTCAGGCGCAGTCCAGAGGAGTTTCTGCAGCTTTCTCACACTCGTAGTCATGTGGGTGGTTGTCAAAATTATGGTGCCTTTTTGGGTCTCTAGTATAGTACGGCACCTAATCTTTAGGGTACCCAAAAAGGGACCCGAATTTTGACAACCACCCATGTTGACCGCTTGCATCAGGCAGAGTAAATCCATGGAACCTCTCCGACGGCTTTGCCGGCGCCTGCCATCGGATACAGTTGCAGCTGCTGGGTCCACATTCTAATTTGTTCTTCTTCTAAACTACCCTAGCTCCCGAGATTAAGGGCATCCAGGATCATGTGGGATCTGGGATTTTTGGCTTGAGCCTGGTGTGTACAGCTCCCATTGAACCGGCCCGTCTAGGAAATGCATCGCTCTCTGCAGCTGGAACACGACAGGCTTGTTGTGGACGTGTGGCTCCCAGGTGCAGGGCGGCGGCTCAAAAGGGTTGTCCGCCGGGTGCCACATCTTCCCAGCCTGCATGTAAGTGTAATCCGGCACCTCAGCCACTTCCTCCTTCACTTCATCTAGGCCGTTCTCACAAGCATTTCGGAGTGGAGGCTCGCTGAGCGACCGTCGTTGCGCCCTGGGCTCGGGCTCCACAACCTCGAAGGACAGGAAGGTTCGCCTATCCACCAGCCGCAAGCACTTCACCTCCTCTGCTTCCTCCTGGTTCTGCTGAGCCTCTGCAGGGGCCTCCTCTTTCTCTGTCTCCCTGGCCTCCCCGAAGTACCTGCCAAGCCTGCCGGGAAATACTCGCCAACAGGTACAATGTAGCCTGGACTAGTATGATATGATATGTCTGCTTTGCGTGAATTCGGCGCGCATGTTTGCTGCTTCTGTACTTTGATTTGGTCCAAGATTAGAGCTCGGACTCCGTTTGTCCACGTGGCCATCTTTCATGAACGTCCAACCTGTCTCCTTCGTCCAGCTTCTCCCGGCCGCCACAACAGTTGGCGCCCATGCTTTGCGCTCGGGGTTCTGAAAAATTCGGAACTTGACTGTCGGATGGGCCAGCTACTTCAACAGGTATCTCACCAGCATACGAAGCAGCACCCCTCGACCTCTACTGCGCAACTTACGTCTCTCAATACCTTTGTCAAGCCAGAATGCTGCACTTGCATCAAAATCAACCGAAAGCCGCAAGGGAAGCACTCAGCATGAATATTTACCTATCGAGCTAGGACTTTGGAGCTTCTTCGCATACGGTACATCTCAGTACATCGCGACGTCTCGACTTCCAAGCCAGTATGATGGCTTACGTATACCTCGCGCCCGGATGACAGCGAAATTTTAGAGCTACATATTTAAGGACCTCCCCTTTGCAGGTGTCCCGATCTCTGTTTAAATGAACATAGCAGTGCAGATACACGGTTATGATCTTTGACATCGATGTGGGATCTAGCATCAGGCGCGTATCCAAGTAGACGACACCACTGCTTCTTGCAAACCCACCTTCGTGAGGGAGGCTGTCTCTCGCAGAACGTCGCCACCAAGGACAAAGACCAGCTTGCTTCCCACGGCCTGGAGCGATCAAGCTGGCAAGCCATGCGCAATCGTCTTCTTCAGCATCCTGCGCATTAGTGGTTGGTGTCACTATACTTTACTATTATATCTATGAAACGATGAGTGTCATGCACAGTTGTTTAAACAAGAGGTCGCTCCAACGAGTCTAGCCTCCACTATCGCTACCAGGCAGGCTTGGTGACACGAGTACTTGTATGGTCTTTCTACTGGTCATGTTCGGGCTCGTTTTACTTCCTGTTAACAGTGGCCTTCCATCTTCGATGCTATCACCTGCCGGTTTCTAAATGTTCCCCTTGCAACCCCCTTCTCACTGCCTCCGTCGGCACGTGCACAACTGCTGGCAGCTGCGGCAACTGGTCCTGCTCTGGGTCCTGCTCGCCCTGCAGTAGGGATAATCAAACCCCAAGGCTCGAAACAAACCACGATGCGGTTGAAGCAAACCAATACCTTTGGCCGGAGTGGTACACCTAGTCTGCTGTCTCAACACTGGGATCCTGAAGGAATTCTGTTACGAAGGGCACCTGACAATCAGCTATAAGCTTCCAGGTGCTTCGCCTGGAGCATGTCCGTGCTAAAGTCCGGGTCGTCGCGTTCTTCAAGCAGTGTCAGCCGGCGCTGCGCAGAGACGAGCGTGGTTACCTTGGGGGCTGTCGGAAATGGCAGCAGTTCCAGTCTCGCAACGTTGGAACTGAAGGATGCCTGGGTAAGGAAGCAAAAGGCAGGCTCGGCCTGAAAATATCTTCCAATTCTTTTCATCGGAATGTGAGACGACTACGGTGAAGCTAGGCAGCTAGGAAACGCATGCGGGACGATCGGTATTACGTCCCGTACTACGTTGCTCAGGTAACTGCTGCAGTACTGCAGTAGCGCGCAGTAGCTTTATGATCCTCATGGTGCCCAAACAAGCAGCAACAGCACAAGAAGCTGCAACAGCAGAACAATCGGCACCATTGTCACGACATGTTATGACGATTTCATGACAATGAAATGAACATCATCTGCTTATATTTAGTGACCATCACGGTCATTCCTACGAGTCTAGGTCTAGGCCCGGGCAATATCGCTGGCCGAAGTCCCCAAGAAGAGACTCAGACGAGGAACGCCGAGGTCAGCATCAGCCTTTTTGAGAAGAACAGGCGTTTAAAATCCACCTTTAGGGTTTAGGCTTTAAGAGCTTCAGGGAAAAAGGGTTGTAGGGTTTGGGGTCTGGAGCAAGGAAGCCCACCATGAACACATGGCATGCTCGACAAGACAGTGGAAGTCGATAAGATGCTGATGTAGAAGTTTTCGTGTGGGCATGACGCCTAACAGCCGCTGCTGGAGGTTTGCTGGTCCCGGTCAAGATGCCTCCACACCGACGTAATAGAAGCCTCACCTTAGTTCCATATTGCATGAGCCTGGTTCGCTCCGAAGAGCTTTCATCACCTGCTGTTCATTGCAAACCTGCCTCCAACTCAGAGTAGTATAACAAACTTCCAACCATTCCAGTGTTGAAGTCGCGCAATAAAACCGTGATGTCAAGGGCTCGAAGAGCATCAACAACAATAGTAGTGCTACAGCCGTACTGGGAACCAGTATAACTCATTGAGAATGCAAATATGTATACTCGTACCAGCAATACGAATAATACTAGAAGCCGGAACACTGAGAACAATGGCAAGAGGTGTATATCTGAACGCCTTTGGGTTTAGGTGAGGCTTTACGGTGTCCAGAAACCCTAAACCATGAACCCTGAACCATAAACCCTCAACCCTAAACCATAAAAACTCAACCCCAAACCATAAACCTTAAACTCCGAACCCTAAACTCGGCAGCCTCCACGGCGAAGCCCTGGGCTTTCGCGGACTCCGGCAGCTGCTCTGCGTCAGCGGCCGCCAGGACGGCAGCATCCTGGGCGACCCTCGCAACAAAGGCGAGTAAAACACAAAAGGTCCGACGGGGTTTGGGGTTCAGGGTTTAGGGTTCAGGGTTCAAGGTTTTTTTTTGAGCGCCTTTTTCCGCCTTGCAGTTGAGGTTTTCAGAATTCACTGTTGTGGAAGGGTTCAAGGTTTAGGGTTTAGGATTTAAGGTTTAGGGTTCAGGGTTTAGGGATTCAAAACCCTCAAGGAACCGCAAATAAGCCTGAGGTAGACTGCATGCATAGGCAGGGCGGATATGCGTCAACAGGCGGCAAATCCAATATCCTACTCTCAGCTACAATGGCTTCCCAGCCGGTACCGGTACTACAGGGGCATTGATAATCAGTTAAGATGGGGTATGGGGATCCACAAAACTTTGTTCATTTTGGGACCACAAGGGGATACTATTTCTGATCGCAGAGACTTTCATATTAAGCTTTGAGGCCCAGAATCTGCTCGGAAATGCTCACACAGCTTCATGATCGTCTCGAAGATCCTGAGGGGCGCTGGACGGGGGGGTCAACAAGAAAGACTTCCACCTACTCGTAGCAAGTAGCTGAACAAGATCATGACAAGCTGTGATGCAGCAGCAGAAGATATTGTATGGAAACTGAAGCTAGCCACTAATTAGTGAATTTGACCGTATTGTCACGAACTACAGGTTGTCTGAGGCAGGTCTGGAACGGACGATGCAGTGTGGTTTTCCTTGCAAAGCGGCCAAGAGGATCCCTCGTCAAATCCGCAATGGCCCGCTGTAGCGGTCGTTTACGCTTTCGTTCTCGGGTAGGCCCCTGGAACCGAAACCCGCAATGGGCCTGCGAACTGTCAGGACTGCCTGATTCACTGAGTTGTCGGCCGACTGCTGATCCCTAAAGCTGTATTCTTAGTATTAGTATTAGTATTACGTAGTATTAGTGTTCGTAGTCGTAGTAGTATTAGTATAAGAAAGTATTAGTATTAGTATTCGTATGAGTAGGAGTATTGGTATTCGTATTCGTATTCGTATTCGTAGTAGTAGTAGTAGTAGTAGTAGTAGTAGTAGTAGTAGTAGTAGTAGTAGCATCACTGTATCACCCCTTCTTTGTCCGAGCCTCTGATGTTGAGTTACCGTCACGGCTGGTGCTGGGCACACCGCTCAGGATTCTTCCAGTTCGGACTGGCTGTATGATGAGTACACGACTCTATGCAAGTTCAGGAACCTTGGATTCCCAGTAATTCTCCTTGGGCCAGCCAGCTTCCGTCTCCGATACACTTCTGCTATGAAATATTCAAGTGACATGACTAGACTGCATTGCCGCAGAACCAGGAAGAAACTGTCTCTGGGAGTCCAAGTTGCCTTGGCTCTTCCACCTGCTATGGAAGGCTTGGGGTTTGGGGGTTCAAGGACCATGTTTCGCAAGAACCCTAAGCCCTAAACCCATTCAAGTTTGCCCAAAAGCAAATGGGACTGCTGCGAAGAGTTGGCAAATAGCCGAAGATTATGCAAGTGTGACGAGACTAACATGGAGGCTTCTTACAACCAGCGGTGCAGTACCTCATCCAGGTCTAGTCTGGCTCCCTACCCAGGATCCTAGAAAGTTCGGGTCCTCTGTTTTCTGAAACTCCCACGTAACGCGGCACCTTCACACAGTACTGGTCCGCTTTGGAGAAGACCATCTGCTTCACAATGGCGCCGGCAATGTTCATCGTGCAGGTTCGGCCTGTTAGCGTTGTCAGAGGATGAAGATAACGGCTTTGTACTATCCTCACTCCACACCAGGGGCCGAAACTAGGAACATCCACGACCAACTCAAAGAAAGAGTTAAGCACGGCTTTCCCCCGCTGAATTCTGATTCCCACCCCCCGTCCAGGAGCGTCCTCTCTTGTTGAACCAGCCGTTGCCGGGCAGTTTCTTGCCAGCTCGTTGCTTCTTCTTCACCTAGCAGGGGTCAGAGGAGCTCTCCCCGCTGAAGGCGTAAGGTCTGCAGGACGATTCCCGACGGGGCAAGTTCGAAATTTTTCGGTTCTCAAGCCGGCTTATCGTTTGGAAAACAGCCCCACAGAATGCTCAGACTTCCGCGGATATCTCTTGCAGTCGACCACGCGGTCAGTCATCCATGACACTCCTTGAGGATTGAATTACGGATGTTCAGGGCTCAGGGACTGCTAAGCGATGCCTCCACCACAACTGGCTCCGAGTCATTGAGGTGCCAATCCATAAGGGGCTCGTCGTCATGGAGGGAGAAGTCGGTAACCCCACGTTCTGGGCTATCGGTTTCGTGTCACGGCTGTCTGAATGGAAGGGTGTTCTACTAGAGCTGTGTCTGTTCGGAGTTCAACAGCCGCACAAGGTCAATAAGGAAGCTCTGTAGGCCTGAAGCCTTCATGTCAGCAATGGCCCAGGCTGGTGTCTGTAGTTTGTACTTGTTCTGCCACACTCGTTTCCGTTTTCAAGTTCTGACTGCCTTTTTGGTGACCTGCACATCGTCGAGGTACTACTCTCGTGATTGCACAAGTACCGGGACTTGTAGTTGCACTAGTTGCCTAGCTGCGGTAGCTGCAGTAGAACTGCCTCTTGCTAACGCTACCATGAGCAGCAGGAGCAGCAGCAGCAGCAGTGCCAGTAGTGCCAGTAGTGGCCGCAACATTTCGCGGAGGGGGAGGAGCAGGAAAGGGAGGAAGAGAAAATGCAGGAGGAGGAGGCAACATGAGGAGGTGGCAATGGGGCGGTGGCAGCAGTAGCAGTAACAGCGGTATTGTTAGAGTAGCATGTAGCGGCAGTGGGAATCGAATCCATAAAGGTTGCAGCATCGACTTCTACGAGTTCAAAATCCTTCCGGTGTATCTTCGACGGAGCCTTTCACTGCCACTGTCACTGCAAATCCCAAACGACGAACGCTACAAAAAAAAAGCCTGCAAGCCTACAAGGGAGAAGGCGCACCATGAACAACACGTGTTGCCACTGCAGCCGGAAGTACTTGTTATGTCGCGATGCTTCGCTCCACGAAGGATAAGCCGCAGCTGCTCGGAATACGCGCCTTTGGCCGGTCATGTGCATCCGAAAGGTCTTGCCGACAGTTATGCCGCGGAACTGAGGCTCGCAGTACAGCCCATGCGCCGTGCCCATGCTCAGGTCTCAAAGGACTCGGAAGTACATGCGGAAGTCTTTCTGACGTGAGAGAAGAATGGAGGGAGAGAGGGAGGGAGGGGGAGGAAACCGTGACACACATGGATGTGAAAGATGCCGGAAGTCCATGAAACTGAGCTTTCTCTCAAAGCAGCCTGTCTTCTGGGCGATGGCAGCTCTGAGGTCACCAACCAACGTGAGCTCGTCACCCTGGTTTTTGGGTTGAGGGTTGAAGGTTTAGGGTTTAGGCATTGCAGGCGTCATAGTTTCGTTCAAGCGCACTGCAAAACACGGACGGAGACTCTAGGAAAAGCGCATTCCTGCTGACAATTTGCAGCACTCTGCTGGGGCAATTGCACATGCGACGGGGGACCCTGATACAAGGGGGATGTTGGCTAGAATCGTATATGTAGTTTCAGGATTCTGAAGGGAGAAACAAACCGGAACCAGTCTGCTTGGATGACCGGTCAACGACTAGTCTTTGTCAACACGCACCTCGATTAGCAAGTCTTTTGGAGTGCCAGGAGGGCTGTAGAAACTCCCGACCTCGAAGTATCGCACGGAGACGTCCATATCCACGTTGCCCTCAGCATCTACCAAGGATCCAGACCTCGGAGAGGATACCGCTGACCCTCCAAACATGCTTGGAAAGCAGGGCTTACAGCCGAATGAAAATCCATGGAACCGCAGTCTCTTCAGATTCATATCCTTCTTACTGACTGGCTCCTGCAGTATTGTTACTTCCGGACCAGCTACCAAAAGCCAACTTGTGGCCAAGCATCACGCACAGCTGCAGCTTGAAGGGCTGGTCGGTAAGGCCCTGTAAGTTCGCTCGCGCTCAAGAGCAGCTCGTATGTGAGGAGGTACATAGAAGATGCCCGGGACGGGGTGATCGAATCATGGTGCACCTGGAGGGCCCTCCTCCACGTATGTATCGGCCCATGATCGTGAGAGGCTCGGACCTATGCTCGAGCAAGCACCTGATGTTGCTACCACAGCTCGATCGATCCTTGTAACCGTTCCCCCCATTGTCGGCTACATGCCCTCAATGCCTGCGCTTTGGCCGGAGAGATGTCGAGCACCGGCTTGTTGCTGATGGTCGGCAGGTCAGCACGGAGGCCCTTCCCGACCCCCTTCCCGTTGCCCTTCAGGGACGAAGGGAAAGGCAGCTGGTGCTTCAAGTGATTACACCTGTCTACTGTCTATGCGTACGTGTGCATATATATACACACGCATACACACATATATATGTATGTAGAAACAGGTATGCACACATGATCACACATTCAACAATGTACGTATACAGATACGGGAACCGGTGTTCTGTTGGTGTAGAAACAGATAGATCAAGTACAAATCCCCCTTATTGTCGATAATACAGAGCTCAAAACGCCAACCCCTCCTTCAAACCCTAAACCCTGAAACCCCTTAAACCCCTAAACCCCTAAACCCTTAAACCCTAAACTCCTAAACCCTTGAACCCCTTAAGCCCTGAAACCCTTTAAACCCCTTAAACCCTAAATCCTGAAACCCTTTCCCAAAGGGTCCTATGTACTGTTATGGGGGATACTTCCCTGAGTCATAATAGTAACTCCTAATATGGAAAACCTACATTCTACTATATCGGTACATTGGACCCTTTGGGTTTAAAAGCCCTAAACCGGCCTTCCCGGATTCCTTGGCGCTTTTTCGGGCCTCGGCTTCCCGTCGCGCCAAGGCAGCAGCAGCCGAGGCCTTGTGTCTGCTGAGGGCTTCCTGAAAGCTCCTCTTACCGTGAGTATGTCTATACTAGCATTGTCATACGAATTCTGACTTCCTGAGTGCTAGATAGTATAAATATCAATATATATATATATATATATATATATATATAGACGATAGTTATATGATGGCGATCACGATGACGATGATGATGATGATGGTGATCACATTTCTGAGTCTTGCAGAGTCGAGTTGCCATTGGCGGATGCTGACTGCGCAGGCACTTCAAACTGAGTGGACCGGAACTGATGGAATGCAACCTCGCTCCGAGATGCCTCCGAGACCTGAATGATTAGAACACGGTTTGGGGCATATTATGCCATGTTCATTAAATGGGGCCATAAGGTATGGTAGTACGGTAAACGTTAAAGCCTCTCTTCAGATCCCCCGCGACCTCCTCGCGAGAGGCAAAGCGATGCTTGCTGGCAGGCCTCACAGGGGCAGGAGTGCACAACAGAGGGAGTGAGGGTTTAGGGTTTAGGGCTTTGAGTTTAGTGGCAGCAATTTCGAGGTTGAGTTTGCTGATCACGGTCTGATACCCTGGCATATCAGGATCTATACGCGCTACGCTATGGACCCTAAACCCTAAACCCCAGATCCCTGAACGGGTCAGTCAGCTTGGTAAGTCGGGTCTCAGGCGCGTCTGTCGTCATCCCGGGCGCAAGACCCGAAGCGGCAGATGGAAGCAGTCATGTCAAGTTTCAGCGCGAGTGGAAAGCCGACCACAAAACGACAAGCCCTATAGTCCACACAGGCTTGAATGCTAACACCCTTCCATCTTGTGCAGGCGACTGCTCTTCCGGATGTTGTGGGTGTCGAGCCAGATCCAGAAGCCTTGCGGTTAGGATCTGGTCTGGAGATGCAAGTTGCAGTGTCAACCCTTAGCTCCAAACCTCGGACCGCAATCCTGCGGCCTTGAACCCTGAACCCCGCATCACACTGGCTCGGCAACACAGTCTCAAGGGGCCTCGAAGTCTTCTAAGTCACTCTGATGCTGAAGGCGTGGCATAAGAAGCAGTTTAGGGTTTCAGCGCGTAGGGCTTCTGCTTAAGAGTTTCGATTTGTTGCAAACCTCCACCACAACCATGGTTGTTCGTGCTATCGGCCCGTTCACAAATGCTCGAGGCAGCCTCCCTTACCAGAGTCGCTTTAGCGTTGTGCTTGTCATTGGCACTGCCGCGGTTGCTAATGTCCGCATTCTGTAATTTGTTTGAAACACACAGGACCAGGGTGAGCATCCGGATAGCCCCCCCTCTCGAACAAGAAACCGAACGTAGTCTGGAAGCTTAGGTCCACGAAGTTGGACTTCTTGGTTGTCAAGAGAACCACAGGAGTCTCGTTCCTGATGCCAACCTGCGCTTGCCTTAGACTTTGCTGACCTGCTGCAGAGTACGACCAATTCTCTAAACCCCAAACTACCCATAGGCTCCATAGTGGTTCCAGGGGTTCATATTTGGAATCCTATAAGGTAGTCCCAAGAAGGAACTACTATGGAGCCCATGGGTAAACCCGTAAACCCTAAATCTTCGGCCGCGATGCAGTTCCAAGCACTCGGCTTTTGGGCGGCCGCTGGCCAGTGCCTCGTCCACCTTGTCGATATTGACGTTGGCGGGGCTTCACGGACGTCCAACTTGAGTCTCAAATGTACCGGAACCCACAATAGCAGCTCTCAGAACGGAGACCCTTCAGTTTTAGGGTTTAGGGTTTGGGCTTCGTTCCCTTCACATGCCTTTTGTTCAACGGGACCTTTTCTCTCGGAAGCCGCTGCAACGAGGTCACACGGCTCAGGGTTTAGGGTTCAGGGGTTCAGGAGTTCAGGGTTTAGGGTTTAGGGTTCAGGGTTCAGGGGTTCAGGGTTCTGGATTTGGGGTTTATGCCACACCAGTTGCAGCACTGGCATCTCAGCAAGTTCCGATCTCTCCCTACCAGTACAAGTTTCAATCCTTTACGGCTGATGCTGTTTTCGTCACATTGGCATGATGTGATAACCAATTAATTAATTCATCTGTCAACCCAATTTGCCGGAAAATCCGTCGTCATTGAAGCGCATGACGTTCGCAGCTGTATCCGACGTGCCTCTGCGCAAAGCCGCTGCCGACGTGTGACAGCGCTCCGCCTAGAACGCGCAGCAGACATGTCACCACCGGGATGCTCACGTTCACGATCTATTTGGTATTCAGGAGTACAGCATACATCCGTTTTGCAATTTGGCGCGGTCACCTCTTTATGGATTTCGAATTTCCGTCATGTGTCGGGTTGTGGAGAATTGGGATCTTGATGGATTTTGTATTTCCAAGTCCAGGCATGCAACAGCGCTGAGGCCCGCACCACTTGTCTGTCAGCGGATGTTCTTTCATGGGGAACTCTGGCACCTGGAGAATCGCCTGCACCAGAAACGTCTCGTTGCCTTCACTTGCAGATCAGACAGAAAGAGACAAGGAAAGGAAGCAGACATGGTTTAGATGAGAACAGACCTCCAACCGACACGCAGGAGCCCTCTTCCTCGGCTACAAGGCCTTCACATTGTGGCTGTTCTTGTTGGCCCACAGCCTTGGCTCGCGAGGAACACGCAGAATGCAGAAATGTCATCTTCTGCCGGAAATGGGCTCCGGCCTTCTGTCAACGACCCCTAAATGCATCATGACAGAAACGTACAAATCCATGGTCCAAGTTGGAGTAGCTGATACTGTCCTACATAACTTTTCGCCTAACGAAAGAAGCCTCAACCCTCGAACACCCCTTAAGCCCGACCCCGTACGTTGCCAATATAAACATTTCCTGCAAAATACACAACGGCCCTGAAAAAACCTTAAGCCCAGACCCTAAACCCCAAACCCTCACCCACAAACTCGAACCCTAAACTTAAACCCAAACCCCTCCTGCACGACATAGGGGTTTCCGAAAATAGGGGACCAAAATGTAGTACGCTAAATTGTAGGATCCTTATTATCACGATATTATAAAGAGCCCAAAATATGGTACCCCTAATTTTCAGAAACTCTAGACCCTAAACCCTTTATAGAACCCTTATAGATCCCTTTAGAAGAACCCTTAAAGGATCCCTTTAAAGGAACCCCACTTGTTTCACGCCCGCGCAACAGGAGCTCGGCGAGGTCCTCCTCGCTTGGCGCCGCAGGCATCAGCTCGGCCAAGACCTCCTGGTCGCAGTACTTGGTTTCTATGTGTGTGTACGTGCTTACATACATGCATACATGCATACATACATACAGTATATCGTATATCGTTTATCGTTTATAGTAAATAGTATACAGTAAACAATAAGTTTACACCGTTTCTCGTATATAGAGCGTAGTATATAGTATGTAGTACATAATGTGTAGCATACAGTATATGGTATATCGTCTAGTGCAGTATAGCATGGTATCGTATAGTAGAGTAGTATAGTATGCTAATGCTATAGTATAGTATGGTATAGTATTATTATGTATTATTATTATAGTTTGTAAAGCTGGCTAAACCTTCGGGTGGGCTAAACCTTCGGGCGGCGTAGCCGCAGCCCACAGCGCGCCTTCACGGACTTGCATCTGCAAATCCTGGTAACGTCCGCCAGCACCTGTCATAGAGAGTCGCCTTCATGTGTGAACCAGTCAATAGTGGTCGGTTTCAGTCTGGGCTGCAGCTGCAAGTTGGAAGTCCAGCTGTCTTAGGTATTCCTTCGACCGTCACGATGGCGGAACTCATTCATGTTCATATATATATATACATAGAGAGAGAGAGAGAGAGAGAGATCATGGGTAACCGTATATATATACACACATCTATCTATTTATGTATTTACTTATTTATATACATACATACATACATACATACATAGTCAAGAACGATTTATGTACATATTACATGTGTGACGCACCAAGTTTCTGAGTCTCCGCCTCGCTTCGACGATCTGCCGGAAGCTGGCCCCAACGCCGGTCATACCTGAGCTGGTCTAGTATAGTAAAGTATAGTATAGTATGGTAACAGTTTTGAATAGTATAGCATAGCCAAACGACGACAGCGAAGCGAAGGACGTCTGCACTGCAAGACTTGACGTCTCTCGAAATACTTTGGCAATCGTCGCTGGATGGCCCATGAAGCAAACTAATGCCCAAAGGAGATTTTGCTCGACCGCTGAAGCCCCCCAGACCTTTGCATACCTACGCCGATGCCGAAGCACATGCTGCAGACCTCCGTGACAGCTTGCTTGGCGGATGCTGGGCCATCTTGCCTCTGGCAGAGATGCCATAAAAAGGATGTGTACCAGGGTCTAGGGTTTAGGGGTTCATTTCACATCATGATCTACAAGGGCTAGTTAGACGGATTCAGGATCTCAGCAGTCGACGTAGCGATTCCGAGGGAAACACGAAACGAGTACCTTGAGGCGGCTGCTACGAATCCCCAGCCACACAAATCGCAGAACTCCGCAGCGTAACATGATCTTTGCTCACACTTGGGCTCCAATGCATGGATGCCAGCTCATCGGCAGCTAAGACTTGGACGGCTTGGACACGATGGAAGTGAAGACAAGGAAGAAGGCAATAACCTCGGCTTTGTCTTACTTGTGGTTAGTAGGGAATGGAAGAATGGTAGTAATAGTAGTTATAATTGTACCTCATTCCTCCATTCCCTACTAACCAAAGGTAAATTGTTGGTCAGAGCTTGGGATCGGCCCTTGCATTCTCTTGAGCCTACGTATCCTAGATTCTGGAATGCGGAGTGAAGGAATTTTCCCTAGAGCTACCTTCAGGAGATGAAGCTGTCAAAATTCATAATACAGGGGCCTTAAGTAGAATAGGGTTTTGGGGCCCCTTATACTATACTATACTATACTATATTATACTATATAGGATATTATACTATAGTATACTATACAATAAGTATAACAGGGAGTCGGTTCGGCCCCAAAGCTCCAATCCTTCGCTTCATCGCTGCCAGGGTGCGCGTCCGTGCTCCGGCTCCAGGGTGTCAAATCGCTCGGCGAGCTCCTTCAATGGAAGTCACGAGACAGCTCTGTAGAGTCTGTAAAGTGTCCGAACTCCCGCTTTCTGGATTTTTTTCCCCAATTCGGAACCCTCCCGGTTCCAAGAAGCAGTTGACGTTGTGGTTCCTGTTGGCGCTTTCGAAAGGATGCCTAGCGCATCTCCACATGCTGAACATTGCCTGACTCCTTGTTGCTCGACTATGGCCCACCTGACCTCTGGGAGCTCTGAGCACCAGTGGCGAAGATGACAACAGAGATCGATGTGGCGGTCTATCTACGAAAGCAATCATGCTACTGAGCTACTGGTAGCCTGAACGATAAGAATGGAAACACTACCAGATGAGCGGATAGCAGTAGCAGCCAGTCATAGCAGCTGCAGCAGCAGCAGCAGGAGTAGCAACGGCAGAAGCAGTACGAAAGCAGGAGCAGTGGCAGGAGTAGCAACGGTAGTGGCAGTACAAAAGCAGGAGCAGTAGCAGTAGGAGTAACAGCAGCAGCAGCGGCAGCAGCAGCAGAAACAGCAACAGCAGCAGCAGCAGCAGCAGCAGCAGCACCAGCAGCAGAAGCAATTGTAGGAGCAGGAGCAGGTGCACGAGCAGTCGCAGGAGCAGTAGTTGCAGCAATCGCTCTAGTAGCCGTCGTCGCAGTAGTGGCCGCCGTAGTGGCAGTGGCTGTGGCATAGTGGCAGTGGGAGCGGTAGTGGCAGCAGTAGTGGGAGTGGTAGCGGTAGTGGTAATCGTAAGAGTGTGGTCGTCGTGGTGGTGGCAGCAGCGACTGTAGCAACGGCAGCAGCAGCAGCTGGAGCAAGAGCAGGAGCAGCAGGAGCAGTAGCAGTACCTACAATTAACAACACTGTCCAATACACTGGTGGGACGCTCGATATCCTGCAGGGAGTCGCACTCGTCCGGCTGGAATGCTTCGGGCATCCTCCGATGTGTGTGGCAATAGCTTTCAGGAGGAAAGGTCTGGAGCATGCTGCACTGTGCCTGGCCTAGCCAGCCTAGTTCAACTCTCAGATTCGACTCATTCTCCGTCATTTCCTTCTTGTAGAGTCTTGCAAGATGGCTCGAATACCCTGCCTGGCAAAGGCTCGTCGAACCATTTCCGGAACGAAGACATGCCACATGTCTGACCACTGAACGTCGTCCACCAAACTCCTGAGATTCACACGAAAATCTCAACGATGCAGCTGGGCTTTCCGCATCCCTCAATCTTATCCTAGGCTTACGGACACATCGGAGCGATTCGACCCCCACCCCACCACACGCCAGCAAAACCACCACGGCCACCACCCCCACTCAAGCTCAAAACTTGATCTGAATCAGAAACAACCTTCCCGGCTCTTTCACAGCAGAGCGCAAGTAGACGATCAGCAAGCCGAGGTCCGAAGTTCCTGCAGTGCTGATTCGGGCTTTAAGGCGCAGCTTACCGACGAGTCCCGCTTCTCTCACTGCCTGCACACGCTCTTACTCCAAAGCAGATCGGACCCAGAACTCTTCGGCGAATCCTAGGCATGTACATCCAGCCATTACAAATGCACGGGCCGCATGTATGAGACCGACACGAGGGCTCCTGGCGGCATTGCAATCCTCTACGTAAACGAAACACACAGCTGCAATCTGATCTGTGGTGCGGTAGACCGGAGACCCCACAAGACCCAGATAATCAGGAACCGGCACATTTCTACGAAAATGCAACCATACATAATGTAACTAACCGTATGATATAATATATCTATATGTACAATATGTATATATATACATATAAGATATGCATATGTGCTAATACTACGTAATGGTCTATACAAGCGCATCCTTTGTGCCAAGAAGAGCCGGTGCCTTTTCTCGTGCGCATCTCCGGTCTCGAGATGAAGCCCTCCACCTCTCAACCCGGCAGGGGAAGAAAGGCCCAAAACGTGGAGCCGGCTTTGGGGTGTTTAGGATGTGGTGCGTTTTCCCATGGCTTCTAGGATTCATGGCTTTTGGGGGTCAGGGCTTTCAGGATTTAGTGCGTTTTGGTGGTTTGGTGGTTTTAGAGCTTCTCGGATTTTTGGCTTTGGATTTAGGGTTTGGGTCTGTAGTAAGGTTTTTAGGATTTAGGGTGTTCTGGTGGTTAGGGATTGAAGCGTCTTTAGGATGTAGGAATGTTTGGTGTTCGGGGGCTTTTCGTGCTTTTAGGATTTAGGGCGTTTGTGGTTTTGGGGCTTTCAGGGTTTAGGGCTTTTAGGGTTTAGGGTTGTGCAGTTTAGGGCTTTAAGGGTTTAGGGTGTTTAGGGTGTTGAGTTTGTTCTGGTGTTTATGCTTTTCAGGGGTTACAGGGCTTTTACAGTTCCCACTGCCATACGCTCAGGATACAGGCCTGCAATGAACTGCCCCCGAAGCCTGAAGCCTCTTGGCCAGGCCTGATCACGCGCGATTTGCTGGATGGAGGGATAGTCCTGCGCCATCCTCGGTCCCCGCTTGACGTATCCTATCTAGAGGATTTGGATTCGCAGGCTGTCTCGATTCGATGGATCTGCTGTTCGGGGCTTTGCCTGTAGCTGCGTCTGAATGCTGCAAGGCCTGATTAGCTGCAGGGCTTGAGGTCAGGGCTGCGAAACTTTTTGGCAACTCATCGCATCCCTTACCAGGCAAAACTCACGACACAGGTGCCTCACCCCTGCACTGGGGGAGCCACTGCAACAGCAGACGGTGGATGTCGCAGTACATTTGCACCTTAGTGTCGCTCCCAGCTGTGAACGCTCCATCCCCATCCCCACAAGACATAGGGCCGGGATCGCTTGGCTGGATCTACACCGAAACCCGAAGCCCTACAGCCCCAGGTTGAACCCCAAAAAAGAACAATGGGACCAAGTCGCAGATCGTTCGGAGGCCTGGGCGCGCTCCCAGGTGTCCGGCGAACGCACGAAACCTCACCACACAGTCGGCTTCTGGCTGCCAGGGTTTGGGAGTTGGGGGTCGCTGCTGCCACAGGACAAGAGTCGTTGAGTATGCTCGGAATCTCCAAGAAGCCAATGCAAGTGGTGGGGAACATGTGCTGCGTTTTAAAGCGGTATGCGTACATGCAGACTCAGCAAATTGAACCTTACGCATCTCCAAAGTCCTGCAATGTCAATGAGGCATGCACGACGATGAACGGCAGACAACAGATGGGTAGGTTGCTGCATATCTAATGTTTTGAGTAGGCTTGCTTGTTACACTCGGCGCTACAGTATTGAGCTGGGACTGCATATGCCCCAACACCAACTTCGTCGCTCCGGAGCCCAACATATGGCTGCTCTTGAAAGGATGTTCAAAAGCTTGCTGCTGAAAAGCCGACCACTGCGCAGCACATCAGGCGTGCGCAGACTTTCCTTGCGGCCACTTTGCGCGGTGAGCTTTTGACCATGTGGACTGCAAGGCTGCGAAGACTAAATCCAGACTTTGAAGTTTAAGGCTCGGGGCTTTATGATAATGGTGATAGTATTATTCTTTAATACTGTAATACTATAATACTCTAATACTATAATGCTATAATGCTATAATACTATAATGCTATAATGCTATAATACTATAATACTACTACAATACTACTATAACACTACTATAATACTATAATACGACTATAATACTATAACACTACCATAATTCAGAGCTTGCACTTGTTGCGGCCCTGGGAAGGCGGCCCTTCGCAAACATTTCGTCGAGACCACTCTTGCCAATGGGGCGGAGAGCTTGAAGGATCCCACTATTTAGGGTAGTATATTGGGGTCCCCTATTGTCGGAAACTCCCAAATCTATCCTAAACCCTGAACTCTATAAACCCTAAACCCTGAACCCTGGCTTGGGGTCTGCGTCTCAAGACTTTGGAGGGCAGTAGGACTACCAACAGTGTGCTGGTCCGCAGGTCGGAGCTATACCACTTCATAAGAATCATACAAGTACTGGAACACAATGACAATCATCAAAATTGGCACAAACAGTCGCAAGATCATGGTAAGACACAGGCCTCTCAACGATGCCTTGACACCCGAAGCTAGGTCTACCACAGCCGCTGCCCAAGCAATGAACAGCGCCGAAACGAAGAAAAAAATAGCCGCAAGGACACACCACCTGCACGAGAGCCAAGGTGCA